GCCTGGTGTTTTGGGCTGCGGCTGATTGCGGTACATGTTGGGAAGTTTCTGTGGTGGGAATAAACAAGTCTTGTTGATGTGCCTGATCTCCAGAATTTCCAAAAGTTTTCAGAGTCTCGTATAGTCTACCGTCTAACTTAAGTGACTCAAATGAAATGTCCATATACTTATGTCAACCTTCCTTCTAGTTTCCAAAAGTGAGATAGGCTTCACCCTAATAAGCGGTTCAGCATGCTTCAGCAGTTCCCTCAAGGCTTCAAGGCCTGTTTGAAAGACTAAAAAACCCCTAACCTGCCCAACCTGCTGTGACAAAAGACTTTCCTCATAGACGAGACTCGCTTCTACTTTTGGGATTATCAGAGTGACCTACCGAACCAGTGCACATCAAACCAAGCACCAACTCAAGGCATCAATGAAAACTGAATTGAAAACACGGTGCGCACCTGCAGGTGTGTCTTGCAAACGTTCCGATGTCTCTGTTCCGGCCTCAACAAAACGCAGGTTGCAAGTCATTTTGAGAGGATGGACTGAAGTCTTACAAGGTGACTTAAGATAGGTTGGACAATTGCCAGGTTGCAAGACTGAAGTCTCCGAAATGAGCGTTCTGTTTTTCTCGACCCGGTATGTGTTTCAGAGTAGGTCCGGCGTGTCCGAGTTTTTTTCGGTCAGCACCAAGCACCGAGAAAACCATACCAACCGATATATACTCATTCAGACCTACCACCCCAACATAATGTCATGTAGGTTGTTGATTAAACAAACCTTTGTCCAATTTGTCCAGAATGGTTTTACATCTCCTTTGGGCATTGAAAACTGTTCAGCAGTAAAAACCAAACCTTGGGCCCCAAACCCTGTCAGCTGGAGTCGGGCCTGCCGTCGTGACCTGCCACGGGAAATGACGTCCGGGCTTACACGGGGAGTTCCTACAATGTGTTTTTTTTTTCTGAACTGAAGAGTGGGATTCCCATGGACCGTGCCAATCACGACCCAAGCCAATCAACACCAACACCCATGATAAACAGGGTTTGAAGGCACCAAGATCCTTCAACGACCGCCCCTCTTAGTTAGTTGACATCCGTCTCTCTTCCTACCACCAATGGCACTAGCCTACATTAGCGCTTCCAATTCGCAAATCCCTCCTGTTCCCCCCCGCATTCTAAGAACAATACACAGAACCCCGTGACACTCCAAACACGTCCCAGCACCTCAGCAGGCTTCTTGCTGGGAAGCATCTTCGGCACTCTTCTCGTCTCCTGTGACTCACCCCTGCTTTGCAAAAAGTAACAGCCCTCAAAGTTCATTCATGTTAGTTGACATCCAATCCGTCCCCCTTCCTTCCACTAGCGCTTTCATTTGCACATGCCTTTTACTCCTCCTTCTGAACCCATTCCAAGAACAATACACAGAACCCCGTGACACGCAACATGCGGTAAACAACTCTCTCCAAACATGTCCGGCACCTGAGC